ACCTTGAAAGGGTCTTGTGAAGATTGAATGATATATGATATAAATTACTTGGTGAGAACTGGTGTAAGTTCTCTTTCACCTTCTCTCCCTGTCCCATATTTCTCCACCATGGTATCTTGCTCCCACTTTTTGACCCTTGGAGTGAAATATTGGACTTATTCCTAAAAATGAAGGGAAATTTGACTATTGAATTGAACGAACTTTTCCAACTTTATCCATTTATCATACAATAGTCAGGTTTTGCTTGTTGTCAGAATGTTGATCCCTTTGAATTAGGTAATAGACCAGTGTCTTATAGAAGATGGTTCCAGAATTTAATAACTTTTGTCAAATGTATATTTAACATTTGCTACAAGATTTTTTTTTTTTTTTTTTTTTTTTTGAGACGGAGTTTCGCTCTCCCAGGCTGGAGAGTAATGGCACGATCTCGGCTCACTGCAACCTCCGCCTCCTGGGTTCAGGCAATTCTCCTGCCTCATCCTCCTGAGTAGCTGGGATTACAGGCATGCGCCACCATGCCCAGCTAATTTTTTGTATTTTTAGTAGAGACAGGGTTTTACCATGTTGACCATGATGGTCTCGATCTTTTGACCTCGTGATCCACTTGCCTCGGCCTCCCAAAGTGCTGGGATTACAGGCGTGAGCCACCACACCCGGCCCAAGATTTTTAAAAGAATTTTTGGACAAACAATTATTCTATGATGAATATTTATACTGACAGAAAAATCATACTATTATATTGGCGGCTGAGACATTTTTAGGTCATCCTCTTTTCAAAAGGCACATACGTACCAACAAAAAGATTTTCTAAAGCCTTTTATTATTGAAGATATCAGCAGCTGATTAAGGGAAAATTACTGTATAATTAAGAGCTGTTAGAAGCTATGTATATTTTGTGGAAGATCTTAGGCGAAATATGTAAAAGCATATGAAGATGTAAAGAAAAAGAGCAAGTCAACACTAGTATTTAAGATATGCGTTAGTTTGTTTTCATGTTAGTGATAAAGACATATTTGAGGCTTGGCAATTTACGAAAGAAAGAGGTTTTGTAAATTAGTGGGGAGGCTTCACAATCCTGGCAGAAAGCAAGGAGGAGCAAGTCACATTTTATGTGGATGGTGGCAGGCGAAGAGAGAACTTGTGTAGGGAAACTCCTGTTTTTAAAACCATCAGATCTTGTGAGACTTCATCATGAGAACAGTGCAGGAAAGACCTACCCCATAATTCATTCACCTCCCACCTGGTTTCTCCCATGACATATGGGAATTGTGGGAGTTATAATTCGAGATGAGATTTGTGCAGAGACATGGCCAAACCGTATCATTCTGCCAGCGGGAACCTCCCAAATCTCATGTCCTCGCATTTCAAAACCACTCATGCCTTCTCAACATTTCCCCAAAGTCTTAACTCATTTCAGCATTAACTCGGAAGTCCACAGTCCAACATCTCATCTGAGACAAGGCAAGTCCCTTGTGCCTATGAGCCTATAAAATCAAAGCAAGTTAGTTACTTCCTAGATACAATGAGGGTGTAGGCATTGTTTGGAAAACTCTGTCCCTGTCATGAAAGCTCTTCCCCCCACACACACACAAAGAGGCTCCCTTATCTTTCACTCTACATACCGTTCTGGCCTTCCCACCCAGCTGCAGCCACCTCCCGTCCGACAACCAGCTGACCAATCACCACCTGCCTCATCAGCACTCCCCAGCTTCCTGCCGCCCGGCTTCCCGCCGCCCAGCTTCCTGCCCAGCGGTTTAAGCTGACCAACTGTTGCCCGCCACCTCGGCTCTCTCAGCTTCCCCACTCCCTCAGCCCTTCAGCCCCCTATAAAAGAACCCTGCTCCTCTGAGCGGCGCGGCCATTTTCCTGTTCTTTCCGGCTGGTTCGCTCGGAGGCTCTTTCCTCTCAATAAAGCCTGAACTTAAGACTTTCTTCTAACCTGCTGCCCGGATTTTTTCCGAACGAGCTCAGTCCTCCCGCAGAGGGTAGGTCGGACAAGTGGTGCCGAAACCCGGGAGCTGGGGCCGTTGGCCTGGCCACGGCCCCCTCCCCTGACCTACCCAACACTGGCCCTGCCACCTCCACGCTCCGATTAAGGTAAGCCAAGTTTTTTCTTGCTTTACCCCACCCCTTCCCTTCTCCTCCTCCTATGGCACAGTGCAGTTGCTCCCCTCTGGCGTTCCGCACGGACTCCTCGCCTAGTCTCGGCCGAGCCGAGGAAGTCCTCCGTTCCGGCTCCAGGAGCCTTCCGAGGGGTAGCTGCCAGATGGGGGACGCCCCTCTGACCGCTTCCCTAACCGTACTTAACTGTACTCTGGGGAATTGGCAACGAAAGGGGACACCTTTTCTTTGCATCTACCTAACCGTGCCGGAGGGTCTGTAGCTGCACCCACCATGGGAAATTCGGAGTCCAAAATACCTTCCAGCACCCCCCTTGGGTGATTGTTGTGAAATTTTACCAAATTGGGATACTCCCAAACCCTCAGAAAAAGCTTGTCTTCCTGTCCCAGGTGGCTTGGCCCCAATACAAACTCAGTAACCAGTCACATTGGCCCCCGACTGGCACTTTCGATTTCAATACCCTCTGAGATCTTGACAATTTTTGTCGCTGCATGGGCAAAGACAATGAAATTCCTTATGTTCAGGCTTTTTGGGACCTCCGTACCCACCCTGACCTATGTTCTTCCTGCTCCACCTACCAAATCCTCTTAGCTCGTACCCTTCGTAAATCTTCCTCCACTACCTCTCCCCCTCCCTACTCCTCACCGGAAGATCTCCCTGAACATCTGTCCCCTCCTGCCAACCTCGGCATCCAGTCGCCATCAACAGCACACCCTTCCCCCATCCCTCTGCACCTCCTACCTCAGAGGCCATGCCTCACTCTTCCTCTACTTTCTCTGGGCCCCCTCCCTCGGAGGCTGCACTTCCTCTTGCCTCTCTGGTGTCAGCCCACACCCACTCTCACCAACCAACTATCCTGGCCCCACTAAGAAGTAGCAGGCGCCGAAGGTTTAGTCAGGGTCCATGTTCCTTTCTCACTCCAAGACCTGTCCCAAATTGAGAATCGTTTAGGATCCTTCTCAGCTGACCCGTCCACCTATATTAAGGAATTCCAATACCTCACTCAAGCATACAGCCTCACTTGGCATGATGTCCGCGTTATCTGTACCTCCACCCTCACTGCAGAAGAGCACGAGCGCATCCTAGTGGCAGCCAGACACTAAGCAGATAAAGATCATGCTATAGATAACCAGATCCCCCTAGGCCCCGAAGTAATCCCAAGTGAAGACCCCCAATGGGACTATCAGGCTAGTCGAGGGTCTGATATACCCAAGAGAGACTGCATGATTAGATACCTCCTCAGGGGAATGGATACTGTATCTAACAAAGTTGTAAACTATGATAAACTAAGAGAAGTCACCCAACTACCCGATGAAAACCCTGCCCTGTTTCTCACCTGTCTTCAAGACACCCTTACCTGCTTTACTCGCCTAGACCCAGCCTCACAAAACGGGGCGACTGTCCTAGCATCTCATTTCATATCTCAGTCCGCCCCTGATATCTGGGAAAAAACTGAAGAAGGTAGAAGATGGCCCCAAAACCCCTATACAGGACTTGGTAAAAATGGCCTTTAAAGTATTCAATGCCAGGGAAGATGCGGCTGAGGCTGCCCGCCAAACTCGCATGACGCAGAAAGTCGCTCTACAGACCCAAACCCTAGTAGCAGCCCTTCGGCCGGCAGAAATAACAAGGGTAAAGCAAATACCCGCACCCCTCCAGGGGCGTGTTTCAAATGTGGAAAAGAAGGGCACTGGTCAAAAGCCTGCCCCCAGCCACGGCCTCCTACCAAGCCCTACCCTATTTGTCAGCTCATGGGACACTGGAATTTGGATTGCCCTAATTCACCTCAGGCCTCAGTTCCTCAAAACTCTGGCACGAGGGGGCAGCAGGGTAACATCCCCCGGAGCCAGGCTTCTGCCTCAGCTGGTCAGGAGCCAGGCATTCAGGAATCTTCAATCCCAAAGCTGTTAGGGTTCAGGGATGATTAACAGGGCCCTGGCTCCTCAACCTCAGTTACCCTTGCTGAGCCCAGGGTCATGCTCCAGGTAGCGGGTAAGAGCGTACATGGGGGCTACCTACTCCGTTCTTCCCTCCTTTTCGGGCAAAACCACCCCTTCCCAGGTCCCTGTTATAGGAATTGATGGGTTCCCCTCCACTCCTCACCAAACTCCACCCTTAACCTGTCTGTTTAGCCCTTCCATTTTTACCCACTCCTTTCTAGTCATTCCCTCTTGCCCTGTACCTCTCCTAGGGTGAGATATCCTAGTAAAATTGCAAGCTACCATTACTTTTCCACACACAGAGACCTTCCTCTTACCCCTCATCGCCAACTCACCTTCCCCCCTTCCTCCAGCCGAACTCCTCCCTGACATAAATCCCAAAGTATGGGATACTGATACCCCCACTGTAGCCTCACACCACCAACCCATACTCATACAGCTAAAAGACCCCACGGCCTTCCCTTCTTGCCCTCAGTTTCCTATCTCCAAAGTTCACCGCCTCGGCCTCCTACCTATCATAAATAAACTGAAAGCTCAAGGACTACTCATTCCTGCAAGCTCCCCCTGCAACACTCCCATTCTGCCTGTGAAAAAGCCCTCAGGTCAGTACCGCCTGGTCCAAGACCTCCACCTTATCAATGCAGCAGTCATTCCGGTCCATCCAGTAGTCCCCAACCCCTATACCATCCTCTCACATATCCCACTGTCCACAACCCACTTTTCAGTCCTAGATCTTAGGGATGCTTTTTCTCTATCCCGCTACACTCCGACTCCTACTTCCTCTTTGCTTTTCCCTGGAAAGATCCTGTCACCAATCTGCCTCAACAGTTAATGTGGACGGTCCTCCCTCAAGGCTTCCGGGACAGCCCCCACCTGTTCAGCCAGGCCCTGGTGACAGACCTGCAGCAATGTAACATCTCCCCTTCTTCCTTACTCCAGCTGGATCAAAGCTTTCCCCACAGCTTATAAAACCGCAGGAGTTGTAGCTGAGCACCTCGTCCGGGACATCATTCCCCGATTCAGCCTTCCTTCTACCATCCAGTCAGACAACGGACCTGCCTTTATTTCTAAGATCACCACTGCTGTTTCCACATCCTTAGGGATTCAGTGGAAACTGCATGCAGCCTACCATCCCCAATCCTCAGGTAAAGTAGAACAGGCCAACGGCCTCATCAAAGAACACCTAACAAAACTTGCCCTCTATCTCCGCCAGTCCTAGGTTACCCTACTTCGTATCGCTGTGACAAGGCTCCGAGCAAGCCCCCGGGGCCCCTCACAACTCAGCCCTTTTGAGCTGCTATACGGACGGCCCTCCTTACTCTCCTCCCCCCTACCACCAGACCCCCCTCCTCTATCTACCTACCTGCCCTATTTCACCCTTCTTCGAGCTCTTCTCCTAGAACACGCTGATACCTCCCTTCCCCAGCCTGATTCCTCTCCTAACCAAATACAGAAAGTTTCCCCAGGAGACATGGTCCTTATAGAGTCACTCTCTCCAAAGCCACTAACTCCCAGGTGGGAAAGCCCATACACAGTCATCCTCACCACCCCCTCAGCAGTAAGAGTTGCCGAAATCTCCTCGTGGGTGCACCTAACCAGAGTAAGGAGAGCACCTCATGGGCCTCCCAAATCCTCCTAGAATGTTACCTCTACTGGTCCTCTATCTCTTAAGCTTACCAGAACCCCACAACACCTCCAGTAACCCTCCTTCTTTTATATGGAGATTCTACCTAACTGAAAATTACACCAAAACCACACACATTTGCAACACCCCTCCCTACAGCCACAACCACCTCCTCGCCACTTATGACTGCCCTCCTACAGGGTGCAACTCACCCATCTTTCTAAACTTCACTGATTTCAAAAACATACCCCGAAATGACTTTTGGGGTCATAATCCTGTCCTCTGTTTTCTCTATGATCAAAAGGCCCCCTGCAAAATGTCATCTCACCTAAATTGCATAGGATGCACCTGGACGAGTTGCGCCATCCCCCCAGCACTCCATAGCACTGATTACTCCAACTCCAAGCTGGAATACCACATTTTCAGCCGTCCTCCCTATCACTCTGTCCAAATCCCTGACCCTTCAAACTCCCGCTAGGCCACACTCCAAAAAGCAGCAGTATACGACGCAATGGCCACCGTGTACCCCTCCTCCCACCTCTACATCTGGAGAGCTTTGGTAGCTCTACCCCCTACCCTTAAAGAAGTTCACTCCTCCATTCACACCCAGGAACAAACGCTGACCCAACAACTTCAGCCATCCTCTCAACCTTTCTCATGGCTAACCCTCCTCAATGAAGGCCTAAAAATTTCTAACCAGCTTGCCAACCAAACAAGTCTACCAAACCTATCTTCATGCCTCATGTGTGCCACCCTAGGACAAACCCCTTTAGTCACAGTCCCATCTAACACTCACGCCAGCTCCTCCAAACCGTCCTCCCGGGCTACCCCCATAGCAGATGTAGAAGTCTCCCTACCTCCAAACCAGCAAATACCAGTCTACTATGGGAACAGCTCTTCCACCTGCAACCGAACTATACCCATAACCACCAATCTCACCGCTCCTCACAGAACCTTTTTATGGTGCAACAGAACACTTTTTAAAACCCTCAACCCCTCTACACACTCCTGCAGCCTATGCTTACCAGTAATCCTCGTACCCCGATTAACCATTTACTCCCCAGCAGAGTTCCAACAACAATTCATACATCATCGTGTATGATGGGCCGCCTTTTTACCCCTCATAGTAGGTCTCTCTCTCGCCAGATCAGCCATAGGAGCCAGACTAGGGGGAGGAGCCCTAGCCCACTCCCATCAGGCCCTAGCATGACTAACCTCTCAATTTCAGGCCGCCATCAACAATTCTGCAGAATCTTTAGCCTCTTTCCAAAGACAGATCACCTCAGTGGCTCAAGTCGCCCTACAAAATCGCCGGGCGTTAGACCCCCTCACCGCCGAGCAAGGACGAACCTGCATCTTCCTACAAGAAGAGTGCTGTGACTACATTAATGAATCCGGCCTAGTAGAAACCCGAATCGAGAACCTCCAGAAACTTAAAGTTAACCCGCAGAATCAAAAATTCTCAGCTGAAGCCACAGCATAGTGGTCTTCCTCTATGTATACCCTCTTGTCCCCGTTGCTTGGGCCCCTGATAGCCATTTGCCTAATCTTACTTATTGCTCCTTGTTTTCTACAGTTCCTACAACGGCGCTTTCAAGAACTAACTTGAGTCACCATCCACCAAATACTGCTCCAACCTTACCCTGAACAAGTGCTAGAAGCAGACCTCTCCCGGAACATCCAGGCTCCTTAAGAAAAGAAACCTCTTCAAAACCCCCTGTCGACCCTTGTCAGCAGGAAGTAGCCAGAGAGACAACTGACGCCCCTGTCCCCCCTCCCTTTTCTTTTCTTTAAGGAGTCGGGAATGTTTGGAAAACTCTGTCCCTGTCATGAAAGCTCTCCCCCCACCACACACACAAAGAGGCTCCCTTATCTTTCACTCTACATACCATCCTGGCCTTCCCACCCAGCTGCAGCCACCTCCCGTCCAACAACCGGCTGACCAATCACCACCTGCCTCATCAGCACTCCCCAGCTTCCCGCCGCCTGGCTTCCTGCTGCCCGGCTTCCCGCCCAGCGGTTTAAACTGACCAACCGTTGCCTGCCACCTCGGCTCTCTCAGCTTCCCTACTCCCTCAGCCCTTCAGCCCCCTGTAAAAGAACCCTGCTCCTCTGAGCGGCGCGGCCATTTTCCTGTTCTTCCCGGCTGGTCCGCCCAGAGGCTCTTTCCTCTCAATAAAGCCTGAACTTAAGACTTTCTTCTAACCTGCGGCCTGGTTTTTTTCTGAACGAGCTCTGTCTTCCCGTAGAGGGTAGGTCGGACAGGCATTGGGTAAATACAACTGTTCCAAATGGGAGAAATTGGTCAAAACAAAGGGGCTACAGGCCCCCTGCAAGTCCAGAATCCAGCAGGGCAGTCAAGTCCTAAAGCTCCAAAATGATCTCCTTTGACTCCATGCCTCACTTCCAGATCTTGCTGATTCAAGAGGTGGGTTCCCATGGTCATGGGAAGCTCTGCCCCTGTGGCTTTGCAGGGCACAGTCTCCCACCTGGCTGGGTTCATGGGCTGCCATTGGTGTCTGTAGCTTTTCCAGGTGCATGGTGCAAGCTACCAGTGGATCTTTCATTCTGGGGTGGGTCTGGAAGACAGTGGCCCTCTTCTCATAGTTCACTGCCTAGTGGGGGCTGTGTAGGGGCTCCAACTCCATATTCCCCTTCCACAGTGTCCCAGCAGAGGTTCTCCATGAGAGCTCTGCCCCTGCAGCAAACTTCTACCTGGACATCTAAGTGTTTCCATAAATTCTCTGAAATCTAGGTGGAGGTTCCCAAATCTCAATTCTTGCCTTCTGTGTACTTGTAGGCTCAACATCACATGTAAACTGCCAAGGCTTCGGAAGTTGCCTTCTGAAGCCACAGCTCTAGCTTGACATTGGTCCCTTTCCGCCATGGCCGGAGCAGCTGGGACAAAGGGCACCAAGTCCCTAGGCTGCACAGAACACAGGGACCTTGGGCCTGGACCATGAAACCACATTTTCCTCTTAGGCTTCCTGGCCTGTAATGGGAGGGGCCACTGTGAAGACCTCTAATGTGTCCTGGAGACATTTTCCCCATTGTCTTGGGGATTAACATTTGGCTCCTCCTTACTTATGCAAATTTCTGCAGCTGGCTTGACTTTTTCCTCAGAAAATATGATTTTCTTTTCTATCACATTGTCAGGCTGCAAATTTTCCAAACTTTTATGCTCTGCTTCCCTTATAAAACTGAATGCCTTTAACAGTACCCAAGTCACTTATGAATGCTTTGCTGCTTAGAAGTTTATTACACCAGATACTCTAAATCATCTCTCTCTAGTTAAAAGTTTCACAGATCTCTAAGGCAGGGGCAAAATGCTGCCAATCTCTTTGGTAAAACATAACAAGAGTCACCTTTGCTCCAGTTCCCATCAAGTTCCTTATTTCCACTCAGTCTGGGCTTTATTGCCCATATCGCTATCAGCATTTTGGGCAGAGCCACTCAACTTCTTAGAGACCAACTTCTTGGTCTCTAAGTTCCAAACCTTCCCACATTTTGGTTTTTTCTGAGCCCTCCAAATGGTTCCAACCCCTGCCTGTTACCCAGGTCCCAAGTTGCTTCCACATTTTCTGGTATCTACAGCAGCACTCTACTCTACTGGTACCAATTTACTATATTAGTCTGTTTTCATGCTGCAGATAAAGGCATACCTGAGACGGAGCAATTTGCAAAAGAAAGAGGTTTAATGGACTTACAGTTCCACATGGCTGGGGAGGCCTCACAATCATGGCAGAAGTCAATGAGGAGCAAGTCACATATTATGTGGATGGAGGCAGGCAAAGAGAGAGCTTGTATAGGGAGACTCATTTTTAAAACCATCAGATCTCGTGAGGCTCAATCATTATCATGAGAACAGTGCAGGAAAGACCTGCTCCCATAATTTATTCACCTCCCACCGGGTTCCTCCCATGACTCGTGGGAATTGTGGGAGTTACAATTCAAGATGAGATTTGAGTGGGAACACAGCCAAACCATATCAAGATGCAAGAGGAGAAATAAGAAATAGAGATAAATAGGGTATACTTGCTGGATTTGTTATGAATTTCCTATTGGAAATTTTAGGGAAGAATAATTTTTTTTCAAAAATGTATATATTTTTAGTTTTATTTTTGATTACTGTGGATACATAATAGTTGTACTTATTTATGGGGTACATGTGACATTTTGATAAAAGCATGTAATGTTTAATGATCAAATCAGAGTAACTGGAATATCCATCACTGCAAGCATTTATCATTTTTTGGTGTTGGGAACATTCTAATTCCACTGTTTTAGTTATTTTGAAATACGTGATAAATTATTGTTAACTATGGTCTTTCCCTTATGCTACCAAACACCAGATTTTCATCTATGTAACTTTATTTTATATCCATTAACCATCCCTTCTATATCCCCTATTTTGATAAGTAAAAATTATATATATTCATGTTATATAACATGATGTTTTAATATATATATACACATTATTGAATGGCTAATTCAAGCTATTTATTATATATGCATTACTTTGTATACTTATCACCTTTTTGATAGTGAGAACACATTCTAGCAATTTTCGTATATATACTTATTGGTATTAACTGTAGCCACCGTGATGTACAATATATCTCTTGAGATAATGCTTCCTGTTTAATTGAAATTTTATTACGTTTGACCATATAAATTTAAATTACGTAAAATTTTTATTTTTTAAGAAAGAATCAACATCTTTCCATTTATCTCTGATTTGGTTAATTAATCACCTCAGCAAATGGTTTATTTTTTGCATGCTTACTTTGTGGCAGTCACTGTCACTCTAGTATGTGCTAGGGATTCAAATTTTTAAAAATACCATCATGATCCTGGAATTTTCAGGCTAGATAAAAAGTAAATTAACAATATGTTGTTATGGTAGAGGTTGGTACGAAGTGTTATAGAGGAGGGGTGGCTGGCAAGATATCCAAATAGGAAAAACTCTGGTCTGCAGCTCCCAGTGAAATCAGTGCAGAAGGAGGGTGATTTCTGTATTTCTAACTGAAGTACCCGGCTCATCTCATTGGGAATGAGTGGGTGCAACCTATGAAGGGTGAACTGAAGCAGGGTGGGGTATTGCATCACCCAGGAAGTACAAGGGGTCAGGGAACTCCTTCCTCTAGCTAAGGGAAGCCATGAGGGGCTGTGCCATGAGGAAGGGTGCACTTCGGCCCAGATACTACACTTTTCCCATGGTCTTTGCAACCTGCAGACCGGGAGATTCCCTCAGGTGCCTGTGCCATGAGGGCTTGGGTTTCAAGCACAAACATGGGCAGCCATTGAACAGACACTGAGCTAGCTGCAGGAGTTTTTTTCATACCCCAGTGGCACCTGGAACCCTAGCAAGACAGAACTGTTTACTCCCCTCGAAAGGGGGCTGAAGCCAGGGAGCCAAGTGGTCTAGCTCAGCAGATTCCACCCCTATGGAGCCCAGCAAATAAAGATCCACTGGCTTGAAATTCTTGCTGCCAGCACAGCAGTCTGAAGTTGAACTGGGATGCTTGAGCTTGGTGGGGGAGGGGAGTCCACCATTTCTGAGGCTTGAGTAGGCAGATTTACCCTCACAGTGTAAACAAAGCTGTGGGAAGTTCAAACTGGGTGGAGCCCACTGAAGCTCGGCAAAGATGTAGCCAAACTGCTTCTCTAGATTCCTCCTCTCTGGACAGGGCATCTCTGAAAGGAAGGCAGCATCTCCAGTCAAGGGCTTATAGATAAAACTTACATCTCTCTGAGACAGAGCACCTGATGGAAAGGTGCATTCCTATACACCAATAATAGACAAACAGAGAGCCAAATCATGAGTGAACTGCTATTCACAATTGCTACCAAGAGAATAAAATTCCTAGAAATACAACTTAGAAGGGATATGAAGGACCTCTTCAAGGAGAAATACAAATCACTGCCCAAGGAAATAAGAGAGGACACAAACAAATGGAAAAACATTCCATGCTCGTGGATAGGAAGAATCCAATCTTGTGAAAATGGCCATGCAGCCCAAAGTAACTTATGGATTAATGCTATCCCCATCAAGCTACCATTGACTTTCTTCACAGAAGTATAAAAAACTACTTTAAATATTGTATAGAACCAAAAAAGAGCCCATATAGCCAAGACAATCCTAAGCAGAAAGAACAAAGCTGGAGGCATTATGCTACTTGACTTTGTACTACAAGGTGACAGTAACCACAATAGCATGGTATTGGTACCAGAACAGATATATAGACCAATGGAATCAAACAGAGGCCCATGAAATAACACTACACATCTACAACTATCTGATCTTTGACAAACCTGACAAAAATGAGCAATGGGGAAAGGATTTCCTATTTAATAAACGATGTTGGGAAAACTGGCTAGCCATATGCAGAAAACTGAAACTGGACCCTTTCCTTGCACCTTATGCAAAAATTAACTCAAGATGGATTAAGGACTTAAATGTAAGACATAAAACCATAAAAACTCTAGAAGCAAACATAGGCAATACTGTTCAGGACAAAGGCATGGGCAAAGACTTCATGACTAAAGCACCAAAAGCAATGGCAACAA